GTAATTTACTGAGAATTTTTAATTAGGAATGGATGTTAGGTTCTGTCTAATGCTTTTTCTGCATTTATCAAGACTAACATAATTTTTCTTTTTTAGTTTGTTAATATGGTGAGTTACATTTATTGATTTTTGAATGGTAAACCAAGCTTGCATTCCTGAATAAACCCCACTTAGTTGCAATGTTTAATTTTAGTTTTGTTTAGATTTGTTAATGAGTTTTCTTATAATGTCTTTATCTGGTTTTGTTATGGGAGTAATAGGAAGTGCTTCTTCCATTGTGGTTTTCTAAAAGAGTTAGTATTGAATCGATAATATTTCTTTCTTAAATATTTGGTAGAATTTACCATTGATGCTGAGTCTTGAATTTTGTTTATGGGAAGGATTTGAATTGCAGTTTTAATTTCTTTAATAAATATAGACTCTTCAAGGTCCCATTTCCTTTCAGTGAACTTTGACAGTTTATGTCTTTCAAGGAATGTGTCCATCTTATCCAAGTGGTTAAAATTGTTGTCGTACTCATAATATCACCTCATTGATGTTCTTCTGTGCTGGTTTTAGCATCTGTGATTGAGTGATGGATTCCTTTGGTTGGTTAATGTTTCTGCGTTACATCTCATATTTTTTTGCCTGTCTCTGATTGGACGTCAGGCATTGTGATTTTATTTTGTGTGTGCTGGATATTTCGGTGGTCCTATAAATAGTCCTGAACTGTATTATGGAATGCAGTTAAGTTACTTGGAAACAGTTTGATCTGTTCATGTCTTGTTTTGTGCTTTGTTTTGTGGGTTTGGAGTGGTGCTGAATCTTGAGCTTATTACTCCCTGCTACTAAGGCAATACCTTCATAGGATTACTACAGGACTACCTGAGGACTGCTTTCCTGAGTGTTATACCCAGAACGCTGTGATTTTTGACTTTCTTTGGTCTTGCTTGTCAGACAAGGCAGTAGTTGCCTCACATGCATGTCCTTACTGGTGCTCTTGAATTCTTTCTCTGCGCCGTTCTCTCCACTCTGGTACTCTGTCACATGAGTTCTAGCTGTCTTATTCTACATGACTCTCACTCAGCTCTTTTTCTCAAATCGGAGTTGGCCAGACTCTTTCTGGCCTGTGACCTGGAAATTTTCACAAGGCAGTTAGCTGGGTCAGAAGGGAAACATCTCAGTTGTCTCCCAGCTCTCAAGGATGATGGCCTTCAGTGCTAGATGCCAGTGTTTGTCTGGGTTTTTTTGGAGGGGATTTCAGGTGAAATCAAATCAACTTCAGCTTAATTCATCTTGGTTGGAAACAGACGTCTGGCTTTTATTTTTTTAAATTAGTGCTCTGATATAAAACAGTGTGATAGTATTAGGAATAATAATTTGAGATGATTATTCATGTCGAGATACTCATTACCTATATTTCTGGATACTTTTGATTTATAACTTTTTATCATTTCCACTTGAATATGTTTATGTATATGTATGTACAAAGTCTGGACGATTATTCAAAAAATGCTAAATTGTCTTGGGGAATGGCATGATTTGGGGTGACTAATTTTATATATTTTTTATTTTGAACATTTATAATAAATTGAAAACAGAAAACCCCACTTCAGACCAGTGTTAAGAATGTAAAAGTGTTAGTTCGATACTTGAAGCCTGATGTGATAGTATATTGGAATAAAATACATATCTTTAAATCATCAAATCCTTGCCTCTCAAATTAATATGGAAATATTTCTGATGCATCATTCAGGTTATTGGAGCCAGATGCATAAATCTGTTTTGTCTTTTATAATAAAAAAGTCTATCCTAAGGAAGAAATGCAGTATGACTTGGAATTCTGTGGTAGCTAGTGAATGCATGTGCAGTAGAATTGGATAATTACAAAGGAAGGTGTTGGAATTGCTGCTCACAAGTCAAGCGTTAATTAAGCATAACAGTTGATTTGCCTCTTGACAGTAGGATTTTAATTCTTACTCTTTACAGAAAAGCACCGTTTACCGTATGTATGTCATGCATCACTCACAAAAAGATTTTAAACATACTTAATTTTTGGAAATGGGAAAACTTGCCAAATGCCCAAACAAAGCAAAACACAAACAAGTAGTAATAGTGATAACAACATCAACAACCACAACCTCCAGATTTAAATTCTTCTTTCTAAAATATGGAATTAGCCGGGCTCGGTGGCTCAGCCTATAATCCCGTGCCTTTGGGAGGCTGAGGTGAGTGGATTGCCTGCGCCCGCGGGTTCGAGACCCGCCTGGGCAGCGAGACCTCATCTCTACAATAAATCAAAAAATCAGCTGGGCGTGGTAGCGCGCGCCTGTAATTCCGGCTACCCGGAAGGCTGAGGCGGAAGGATCGCCGGAGCCCAGCAGGCGAGGCTGCGGTGGCCGGGAGCGGCCACTGCACTCCAGTCTGGGTGACAGAGTGAGACTCCAACTCAAAAAAAAAATAAATAAATAAAATAAAATAAAATATGGAATTAGGTGAGGTAGTCTGCATGCTTTTTAAAGTCTACCATTATTATATTTACAACTGAACAAATTGCATGTTAAGCTTCAATATTCATATCTATTTGACTGAATTTTTGATGCATTGTTAATGTCTTTTTAAACTATTTCTAGTTGTTGTCATTCTAAGTGGTATTACTAGAACAAGTCTATTTCATCCTATTTAAGTGATGATTTTCTTCTTTTATCCCTTTATCTGTGTGTACCTATGATAGCCTTTATCCGTATGTGTCTGTGACCCTAATTCATGGCTATACAAAAGAAAGGGGCAAGAAAACTTGTCATTTAATTTAAGTTGCCTGTTATTTGACCTCTGTGATGAAAGCTACATAATCCAGTAGGAATGTGTCTTGGAGAAAGGAAAACCAAATATTTAAAATGTGAGGCCATAACTAGAAAAAGAACTCCAAGTTACTTAGAAAAATTAGTTTAGTTTTGGGGGTGGATGTGTGTGTTTGTGTGTGTATGCAGTTAGAAGAAGGTATTGGGCTTGTTGCCTACAGATTAAGCAATAGTTACATGCTTTATTTGCATTATTTTGGGAATGCCAAGAGAAGGGCCATTATAACACTGCATAATCACAGATTTAGTATAGTAACATTACGATGCTGCTTTTTAAGGATAATCATTTACTATCAAAACTTAAAATTGCTCAAAGGCAGGACTGTTTATAAAATGTCAATGATAAATGTCATGGAGACCTGGAAGTATGTAGCATTTAGTACTCATACAAAGTCTTAGGTACTTAGTAAAGATGATTGATATGTAGAATATCAAAATAATAAATCAGGCTACTATTTGAAGTTTCAGTTAGTATGCTATATATATGAAATTTCTAAATGCTGGTGCAAAATGATGCATATTCTCCCTGACATTATAGTCTTCTAAAGACTTGCTAAAATTCTGACTATATTATTAGCATTTGCTACTCAAAAATGTTGAACTTCTGGCCTTGGTAACTAATATTTCGGATGGCATTTATAAGTTAATATTATTCATCTTAAGTGGTAGTCCATGTTAGTTTACTTTTCTAGCCTATATAGAGTAACAGTAGAGTTTAAAATTTTTGAAGTCATAAATCTGTATAGGAGTAATGGATGTGAAACTTTTACTGTGGTTTCATTTGAAGCCATTTTCTGCTTGCTTCCATGTTCTCCAAGTTGCAAGAACAAAAATTGCACATGAAGAATTAGAAAGATTATCTTATCTGAAAGATGATCTTTACACTTTTCTATCCTAAAATGTTGAAATACAGTTTTTGAATACATTATAAAATAGTAAAGTTAACAGTTAAAAAGAAAACAAACAACTTGACTTTGCTAAAGAAACTGAATATTTTCTCAGTCATTCCTTTAAGCGAAAAACAGGAAGCCAGAATTGGAAAGAAGCTTGAAATCTTGAGTAATTCCTTTGATTTTCTTTCATTCTACTTTGGATAAATGCCTACTTACCTCTAAACTGATAGGAATTCAGTATTAGTGAAAAGTAGTTTGGGCAAAACATTGCCATTCCACCCCATTATGCCTAAAAATGTTTTGTTTGAAATAGCTAAATACAATATTTTATTTATTTATATAAATGTAAAACAGCACTGTTTTTAATACAGTTTCTATTTTTAAAATATTTTGTTAAAGTCGCAAAATGAGCTAGCCGATGTTCAAATTTTGGAAATTAAATGTTTGCTGTTGGGCCCACCTGTAATCCCCACACTTTGGGAGCCAGAGGCGAGAGGATTGCCTGAGCTCAGGGGCTCGAGACTAGCCTGGGCAACTTGGCAAGACCTCGTCTCTACAGTAAATCAAGAAATTAGCTGGATGTGGTGGTGCATACCTGTGGTTCCAGCATCTTGGAAGGCTGAGGTGAAAGGATCAGCTGAGCCCAGCAGGTCAAGGCTGCAGTGACTGTGAGCAAGCCACTGCACTCCAGCTTAGGCGACAGAGTAAGAGTCCGACTCAAAAAAAAAAACAATAAACATTTGCTGTTTTTCTTCTGTACCTCAGGCTGCACTTTCTAGTAAACCAGAGATCAAAAGAATGATTTTGAAATCTATAAATAAGTTATTCCGTTGATACTATGTGAACTTTTGAATATATTATATATCTTATCATAAAGGTATAGTAATGTCATGAAATGGCATTGCTACTTTAAAACTTAGAATAATTACTTGCATATTAGTGCAGAGTTTTAAAAGTTCTGTATAGTTTGCAAAATAATCACCTACTATTGATTTACAACTATAAACACTTATTTGAAAATATCCATGCCTGTAATATTTTCTGAACTATTGATCTAATTACACGTTTATGAAGTACTTCAGATGTGTAAAACTTTAAGTGGGTTACGTTAACTAAAGACATTTCTATTTGCATAATTAAACTAATTCGTCAAAGGAGGGTTCTTAAGAGTGAAATTTTTTCCAAGTAAAAATTTATAAAATTAAAATTCAGGGTTACAGTCATAATTGTACTCTTTAATTTATGATTAATAAAATTTCTCTTTCAGACGGCAAATGGCTACATCTTATTTTTTCATATTACATCTGCAAGAGGGGACAAGTACCTTTATGAACCAGTGTATCCCAAGTAAGTTTGTTGCCATTCATTCTTTTAATATTTGATTTACATACTTCACATTCAGAAAACATTATGGTTTGGGGCTGTCTGAAGTAATTAAAATAAAATTAAGCTGCCATTTCCAAATAGTGTTTTCAGAATTACCAGGTCTTTGGTATTCTGTAATTAAATAAGTCTGGGGATCTTGGTGATAGACTTTATCCCTTCTTGGACATCTAGAATTACCATTAATATATTCCAGGTGTAATGTTCTCTAGTTCTTATTAAAGAAGAGGTAAGAGATGAGGGGAGGAGGTGAAATGTTGCCTATGGTTTTGTATATGTATAGAAAAAAACCCTAGACAGTTAACTATCTCTTGCTTGGAATTTGGGAGAAGCATGGACTCTTTGAAGTACTTAATTATGTGTATTTTGCATTGTTTTTTCCTTACAGCAGTTCTTAACCTTTGAAATAAAAGAACATAAAATTTTCAAGCATGATTTTTTTTTTAAAGAAAGATTAAGCCATAAAATTGGATTAAAAAATATAAAAGAGCATCACATTTTTAGTCGGTGGAAGGTATTCAGAGTTTAATATGTATATAAAAAATTAAAGGGAAAAGCAGATATCATTATATGAAAGTCTAAATTTTTGATAATTAATAGAAAAAAGAAAAGCATTTAAAAAACAAGTAACTGGGAAGTACCTGTGGCAAACAGGGGCAAGTCTTACTATTTTTATATAAAGGATCATATAAATTGCTAATAAACACACAAAGATTCCACTGGTTAAATTGGCAAAAATCTCAAGAGGAAATATAGCAACCACCAAACCCAAGAGAAACAGTTTAGGCCCAGTAGTGACTCTAACAAAATAGAACATTAAATACAAGAATTTTTTTCAATCCACACACTTAATATATTAAAATAGGTTTTAAAAAATCTTTACTTAGTACTCATGGAAGCTTCATAAAACTTGTGTTGCATACTTCTGATAAATTAAGGCATAATAACAGAAAGTTAATTAGTAAGTTAACTGTGGTGCATCCTTCTTTTAGAGTGATATGCAGTTCCTAAATATAATGTCTCAGAGAAATTTACAAACTTCAGAATTTGACGGCCAGGCGCAGTGGCTCATGCCTATAATCCCAGCACTTTGGGAGGCTGAGATGAGGGGATTGCCTGAGCCCACAGGTTTGAGACCAGCCTGGGCAACTTGTCAAGACCTCATCTCTACAATAAATCAACAAAAATTAGCTGGGTGTGACAGTGCATGCCTGTAATTCCAACCACTTGGGAGGTTGAGGAAGGATTACCTGAACCCAGCAAGTTGAGGCTGTGATGGCTGTGACCATGCCGTTGTACTCCAACCTGGGCAACAGAGAGACAGACTCAATAAAAAGAACCTGACCATATTATAATACCACGTGAAGAAAGAAGTCACACAAAATTATGTATATAATATGACCACAGCTATTTACAACAAAATGACAGAAATCATTAAAGAAAAAATCCAGAGCAATGTAATACAAATTTTTGTAGTAAATGTTCCTGAGTGGTAAGACTGTAGTTAAAATTGTTCGTTTAAGTAAGGTTTGCTAACATTCTTGAGAACAGATATTGGGAAAGGCTGACCTAGGTCATCCAGGTGTCCCAGCTCCCTGTCAGGAACTAGGCTGCACTGGAGGAGTAAGCAGCAGGTGAGCCAGCGAAGCTTTATCCGTATTTGCAGCTGTTTCTGTCACCTGCATTACCACCTGAGCTATGCTTCCTGTCGGATTAGCAGTGACACTAGGTTCTCATAGGTGCGTCGACCCTGTTGGAAGCTGCGCATGTGAGGGATCTAGGCTGTGCACTCCTCATAAGGCTCTTATGCCACTGCTGACCTGCACAACAAACGTCCTGTGCTTGACTCATCTGTAACCGTCCCCCAGCCCTGTCTGTGGAAAAACTGTCTTCCACAAAGCCAGTCCCTGATGCCAAAAGGGTTTGGGATCGCTGATTATAGGTCAGTTAGATTCCAAGGAACTGTCTAGATTTTCTTGATGCTGTCGCCACTTGTTTTTGTAACAAATACAGTGTTAGTTGAGGTATTTGGGTTTTAAGCTGTAGAAATTTTTCTGATAATGAGATTTAATATGGTTATTTTTCAATAAATTTTGAATGCAAAATTCTTTTGGCATAAATGGACTGCAAAATGATATGGACATTGTGATGTGTTTAGAAATTTTAAATTGCTTTGTGGGTAACGTAAAGCTTATTTTCTTCATCTTAAGTAATAATTTTGTGATTCTTTTGAAGAACTGTTGCAATGACTAAAATTTGATTTACTTGTGCATTTTAAACTACTGGATCTAACCTTTTTAAGCCTTAATTTGGACATGTTCTATAAATAAAAAGCAATAATCAGAAACAATTGAATTAACTTGATTAATTTATACTACTGTGGGCAGGGTGGAGAAATAACTTATCTTGAAACTGTGAAAACCCTATTTTCTTATTTCAGCTCACTAACGTGATTACATATGTTTATAGTATTTTAGAATAGTATCTTGAGAGCTAACTTTTTGTGTTCCAGAGAAGTTTTCAAAATGTTCTCTTACCTTGTAATTCTAAGACTGCAGGGGATTACCAGTTAAACTAAGTAGTCTTGACAGTGCATAAACTTTGCCGTGTTTGAGAACTAAATATACTTCTTACTAGCTTGTTGTTAATGAATTAGTGCCAGCTGGAAAGGAAGACGAGAATAGCTGACTGAGGTAGCAATTTCTAACTTCAATACTACTTATTCCTTCAGAAATCCAACTTCCTTGCAGGATAAGCTTCCATTAAGGGATAGAAGCATATACTAAATCACATCAAATTTAAAGGAGAAAAGAGATCTTGAACTAATTACAGGCTCATGAAAGTTTCTCTGAGCACATTTCTTTTTGTTAATGCATTCTGAGTGTTAGTTTTCTAAGAAGAGAGACAGGAAAAATTTCCCCTTATTTCTAACAATATACCTTGTTCTATGTTCAGTTCCTAAAGTTGACAAAGTATATTAGTGACCTTTTTTATTTCCTTGGAACCTCTCAAAACATCCCATGTCTACTTTGATTTCAGTATGAATATGTACTGCAAATGTACATGTGTGACCTTTAGTTATTGAACTTTGTATATTACATGCTTTCATTAGTTTACACTATAATTGCATGAGTGCTTATTGGTAGTAATACTATTTTCTAAGTTATGGGCCATGAAAATAACTCCCTGTTGGTCCAAATATGGCACCTAAATTCAAAGAGTGATATAATTGTTCAAAGATCTGCCCAATTCAGAGAGCTCTGCACATAGTTTTTATCAGATTGAAAGCTATCTGAATGTAAACAATAGTGAAGACAAAAAAACGGTTTTTATGGTATTTGTTTTTAAGAGATATAGTAATAAGGTTACTACCTCTTTCAAAAATCTCTTCTGAAAATTAGTTTCATCCATCTGTTTAAAAGCGTTGAGTTTTGTCAGGCTCCAGACACTAAATGCTGATGCTAAAAAGGCACAGTGAAAAAAACAAAAACACCCAAAGGCCCTAAATAAAAGAAATTATAAGGTAGATGATACATCCTGTAGAAAAAGTAAACCAGGGCAAGGGTATAGAGGGTGGGTACATGGCCTGAAATAAGAGTGGTCAGTGTCTTTACATTCAAAAGAGGGTGACATTTGCAAGTGTCTCCAGATGGATGAGGCAGCAAAGTCTATACCCCCAGGAGAAGATCCTTCGGTTCCGTGAAGGTTAGCAGTTTGAAAAGTTCATAAGGTGATACTGTGAACAGATTTTAGGTCCTATCTAATAATTTATAGCTAGCAAGAAAGGGTGGATTTTTTGATGAACTATAAATATGAAAATGCACTCTGATTCTTAGTAACTTAATCCTGGGGAAGTCGAAGAACCCGTTTCCTTTTTTTGTAAATGACGGTACCATGAACTTGAGTTTATTTACTCTTCCTGCTTATTAATAGCCATAGCCAGTCTATATCAAGTCCAGTATATTCTACCTTATAAGTCATTTATTTTGCCTCCTTCTAATTCCCAACAACACTATTTATTTTGGATTGTCACTTTTCTCCTGGGTTGTTATAATGTCTCCTTAATCTGTCTTACAGTTTGCCCCTAAATGATTTTTTTTTTCAAACATAAAATTTACTCCTCATTTTTCTGCGTAAAGTTTGTAAGTGGCTTTTCAGATTGGTCATGTTGCTTTCTTTTTCTTTCTTTCTTTTTTTAGCTTCATTTTACTCCTCTGCTAAATGGAATTAACACCATCTACTTCATAAAGTCATTGGGTTTAAATCTGTACCCTAAGTTATTGCACCATACCTAAAGCAATGCCTTAGTGTTCCCTAGGATTTTGTTCTGAGTTGTGCTCTGCATGTTCTTTCTGGCTTTAATTGTTCAGTATGTGTGAGTGTGGTCCAAATCTTATTTTTTAATCTAGTTTGACTTTCTTGAGCTTCAGGCCCATCTTTCCAGGACAGATCTGTTTAGATGTTCCTAGAGGCAGCCTTAAATTCATCATATCTAACCCTCTCTCATTGCTCCCCATCAAGCCAGATATGCTATTGCTTTGCTAAACTTGATTGCGGTTACGTCATCTTTTATACAGTTGTATGTGGTAGAAAACCTTGGATACTTTGTTTCTTCACTCCCATATTTGCTCAGTGATCAAGTTTTATTGTTGATTGGTTTTTCAGTGTGTCTAGAATTATTTTATCTCTGTTTTATTTTCACTATTCTTTCTAGGGGCCTTCGGGTCCTCCCCCTTGTCTGTTAAAAAAGTTTATTTACAAACTCATTTCCCCTAGTCTCTTTCTCCTACAAACTGAAACTTATTTTTTGCATTAATACCAGATTTAGTTTTCAAAACATAGACCTGGTTATGTGATTCTTGTCTTATAAATTTTCATTTCTGTCCAATTTCCATAAAATAAAATCTAAGCTCTCTGGCCTGGCATTTTTCATATCTCAAGCACATTGAGCTCATAGCTACTAT